CATCTGGAATCATGTGGATGACCCGGCGAAACATCCATTATGCCATGTCTTTGTACGTATACCAGTATTATCCGAGCCGATATGGTTTGCGCACGTACGACCGATGCTTGCGCAGTCCAAACGCGACTTCGTTTGCTCGCTTCCGGAGATTGACGTCGATTCAATTGCAAAAGAGGATATGCGATGCCCTCACTGTTGGTGCAACTTTGATGAGGAGGATGAGGATGGGAAAAGAGACAGTCCGGTACACGCTCCGTGTCCATTTGGCCATGTGTACGGTAAGTCTTGCTTACTGGAGCTCATGCTTCACATGGAACAGGAAATGCTGTGCCCGCTCTGTCGCAAGGAGTGGCGTATATGAGCTGTTCAGCTTGGGTGGCTGTAGGACATTATTCGAGTACAAGTTAGCAAGCGAAATGGTCTTTTCACTGCTATATCTTTCGATAGTGAGAAGAAATCCTGCATTCGACTACATGCTTGAAGGATGCCGAGACTTTCCTAATAGGTCTTAGCGTGGGCCATGCACCTCCCGAGGTCCACCCCCTGGGACCAGTGACTGACTTCCTATAGGAGTAATTATTTTGTCCGTCCCTCTCTTTACCTGCCTCTGCAGATTTGTATTGATTGCTGATGGAGGCCTTGAAGGATTGCGGGGTTTCGTACGCCCGGCGGCAACATAAAGCCCAAATGTACAATGACGTCGTAAGCCAGGACCAATAACCAACGCTTCTCCTTAATGCTTGCAGATGCTGTTGGCTTACTACTCTTAGTTCGCAGCGTGTGTAAGATTTTAGCAGAGCTGTTGTACCGATCTGATAGCCTGTTGTCTGTAACCCGAATGGACGCCTGGAACAGGAGCGAGTCGTTCGTCATCTTCCGGTCAAGGACTGCGAATCTCACGCTTCATATGGCGGCCTGAGAGGCTATAAAGCTCTGGATCCATATCTTTCCTATGGAAGTTACTTCTGATTAGTATAGACCCAGGAACAGCTTCATAGAGTCATGACTAAGTTAATTGCCGTTATTGGTGTGACCGGAAATCAGGTATGCGCCAATATATCGACAAATACTTCAAATAAACATGCCACTAACTAAGCATAGGGCGGGTCAGTTGCTCGCACGTTCCTGAACGAGCCCGAGTGGAAAGTTCGTGGCATCACTCGCGATACTTCCAAAGCGTCCGCCACGGAGTTGTCATCTAAAGGCGTTGAAGTCGTAGCAGGCAACCTCGATGACTTAGAGTCGCTAAAGAATGGGTTCAAGGGTGCAAATGTCATCTTCGGCAACACTGACTTCTGGGGTCACCTGAATGATCCTGCGACACATAAGCTTGCAGCCGAACAGAAACGTACAGCAAACGAAGTGGCATATGACCGAGAAGTTGCTCAAGCCAAGGCTATCATCGATGCAGCAGCGGCTTATGCCGGCACTCTGGACCGTCTCGTATTGTCCACGCTTTCTGAAGCCAGGAAATGGAGCAACGGTACCATCAAGTGGAACTTGCACTTCGATGCAAAGGCTGAAACCGAGAATTACCTGAAAGAGACATACCCGGAGCTTTCCGCCAAGACGAGCTTGCTGCACTTGGGCTCCTATGCAAGTAACTGGAGACCAGAGAAGCAGGAAGACGGCTCCTTTGTTCTTAGTCTACCCATGAGTGGAGACAGGAAGATCCCCATGGTCGATCCGGTTGCAGACACTGGTCAGTTTCATTGGTCTTCGACATAGCCACCTGCTGATAACCCCAGGGCGTTTCACGAAGGCACTCGTTGAGTTGCCACCAGGAACACTTCTGAGCGGCGCTGGATCGTTCATATCGCTTGGTGAATGGTGCGACATCTTCGGGAAGGTGAACAACGTGAAATGCGTCTTCAAGCAGATACCTCGAGAGGCCATTGAAGAAGCGATGGGACCCGTATACGGTCCCGAAATTGCCGACATGTACGAGTATTTCGACAAGTTTGGCTTCGAAGGGGGCATTCCTGATGTTGTGTTTCCGTGGGACCTGGGCATCGACGTGAAGTACACGTCCATGGAAGAGTACCTGAAGGGCGAGAACTGCAGCATCGTTTTGTGAGTTCGCGCATCCACCAGCGATAATTACAGCACCTAACGGAGCGCTTGGTCGTGGAGAAACAATGGGCCTGTGTCGCAACGTGAGGCCGGGCGATAACGCTTGGGATTGTTATCTCGTGGGGCCCATGGCCCGTGCAACTAGCGCAGAATGCCAAATCTCCAGTCGTTACCTGCACCCTTCCCACACCCATTGACACTTTCACCCACGCTAAGATCTAGCAGCCAGGGTATCTGGCTTTTACAGCGGCTGCTCATTCGTCCGGGATGTATGCCATCTTAGATCCTTCCACGTCATGTCCTCGATACCAATTCTTGATGTTTGCGTGGAGACCTCAGAGCTCTACGAGTGGCGGCGTAATACATCACGAACTCTAAGAATAGAGTCAATTCTACATTATCATGACAGTAGGGTCCTAGGCTTCGATCGCTCTTGTCAAAGCCAATCCATGGACTGAACAAAAGTCACGCGCATTGCATGACTACCCACCGAACTGATCCGACGTCAACCCCAAGATAGTGCATCGAATCGAATTGCATCCTGGCATCAGGCCATCAAAGCACTAAGACAGCCGTACCCGAGAGAAAGGCAAGCCATGGGACTTCTTCACCACAAGCGGTATCAGCGCGTCCGGGGTATCGATAGCGACTGCATTACCGACAGCGGGGAAATTCTAGAGCCGCCCCGAGATGCGCCGTACTCCACGCTTGAACTGGCAACAAGGCGGGCGATAAACCACTGGAGGAGAGCCATGTCTACCCTTACTCCCTACGCCAAGATGCTTGGGGTTCCAATACTATACAAGGTTAGGGTCGTTGGGTTACACAGCGGGCGATCTACGGTGATAGGCCCCACCACAATCATAGTAGTGATATGCGTACAGCCATCCCAACCTAGGAGTCACAGCCCATACTTCTGATGAGAGACATCATCGTGCTGTTCGCTTGCGTCCGATCGTTGCGCGGTCATTACTTGTTTAGGGTAGTCTTACAGGTCGCTTCGCACATCTATGCAGCAGTCATCCCGCCCCGCATCGTAACGATAAGACAACCAGACCTCATTTCCGGTTATAGAATGTCTTGGGTTAAGCCTCGCTCTTGTCAACTATCACAATATTTCCGAAGCTAAGCTATCGCTGCCGTCGTTGACTCAGCGTTCATCGTCATCCATCTCCACCGACACTGCTTGCATTAAGAAGAAGGAAGAGCGCCAGATCAATCGCTGGTCATTGCGTATGTTTATCCTGTCAATCATCTCACGGTCATTGAATATGGCTACCAACCTTTCATTGCTGTTGGGAGCAGCTTTTCTGCTCACTTCAGTCTTCCTGCTGATCAAGCGGGGAAGGCGCAACATAATCCTACAACGACTTCGTAGCGGCGGACGAAGGGTATCAGGCGCAAAGACTCCTCCAAGGTCTTTGTCTCCAGAGAAGAGGGGAGCGTCCATTTCCCCGATTGATCACGCCAGCACTTTCCCGCCATCGCGACGATGCGCCTTGGTTGGAGACGCAAAGACAGAAAAGGTCGAAGAACTGTCGCCAGACTGGCAGAAGAATGTCTTACCTATGGAAGCATCATATCTCGATGCCGATGGCTCCACATACCTCCCATGTGGCTTTTCTGTAAAGGACATCAGAGCCCTCGGTGATTTCCCAGACTACGCTACACTCAGCGGCGTACCTCTACCGGACCCGTACCCAGAATTCGACATCAAAAAGGCACTGCCCCGGCCATATAGACCGTTTCGATGGTCTTACCATCAAACAATGTGTGAGTAGTATTGATAGCTGCACCCAGTCCCATACTGATCATAGACAGCAATCACCAAGATGCAACCTGACTGGTGGATCGAGCTCGAGAACACATACGAAGAGCGAATCAAGCAACGACAATCTCTATTCGCAAAGCACGGCGAAGCAGTTCTTCAATCTTTACCAGGCTCGGAGCTTGCCTGCAAAGAACTCATGGAGATGGTACTGCAATTCGTGTGCGCCAGGTACCCGCATTGCTTCCACTTATCGGCGAACAACAAGACATTTCACAATGGCATATTAAAGACAGACACCGATCTCACCACCACGCCACCCTTGCACGTTCTCCTGAACAACATCCCCGAAGACTTCGCCATCATGCTACGAAACGAGAAGACAGGACTATACGTGTTTCGAGCAGGCATCATATGCAGTGCGCTAGGTTGGAACGTAGGCTCGAAGATCGGTCTCGAACTCGCCCACATACACAAACCCATTCCAGACTACAAGGAGAAGATGCAGTTCTCCATGGACAGGTACGTTTCCTCAACACTCCCCACTATCTCACGCTAACCCCAATACCACAGATACTTCGCCAAAAAGCCGACAGACAAACCCATCCAACGCGGCTCCTGGGGCCTAGAGATTGACACACCCCTCTATATGCCCCCCGGCGACCCCCACGAGGCCGTCCGCAAGCAGCAACTTCCCACCTCTGAACTCCCCGTCTCCCGCATCCACCTCCGCGTAGACTGGCAGACGTTGCGCAGGCTCCCGCTGTCAGGCGCCGTCGTGTTCAACTTCAAAGCTCTGTTTACCCCGATCGAGGAGTTTAGAGAGGAGAAATGTGTTCCGGGGTTACTGCTCAAGGTGCTGAACGAGGGGAAGAAGGAGTTGATGGTGTATAAGGGGACGTGGCATGTTGAGCATGTTGTCAAGCCGAAGTTGGCGGAGTGGCATAGGGAGCAGGTTGAGAAGGGGTTGGTGGGTGAGGATTGGGAACCCCAAACTCTAGATGAGAGTCCTTGGTTTGAGGGTTGGGAGGGGAAGTGGAGGGAGAGGCAGGGTTTTTGAGGTGATGCCGAGTTAAGGTCGGATGAATAAGGCAATCGCATGTTGCGCATGTTACTCTGATATTACTTGTACATAGCAAATACATTTCATGTCGCGCTTTCAGGTCCGCAGCCCAAGTCTCTTATGCAACTTACCTCGATAAACCCACGCAGCACCCGCAGCAACCGCACTCAACGTTCCAAGAACCAACGTCGTGTTACTCACCAGCGTCTCCTCGCGCACCCGACCAATCTTCGTCTCCTGCTTGCCCGTCCCAAAAACGACTTTACTCGCACTAACACCGCCAGCAGCAGTCGCACTCGCATCCTTCTCTTCCTCATCAGTAGTAGCAGTGGTTTCAAAATCCTCCCAATCAATCTTAGCAAGCTGCTCCTGGTACTCGACGACCGTCCCGGACCAGTTGTTGGTAATTCGCCCCTCTTTGTTCTTATACCACGACATGCAGTTCGGGTCGGCGAAACTGCTGTTCCTCAAAATCTGCTGAATACCTTCGTTCCACTCATGTGTCCTGTCTTCTTTGGGCATGATGCCCATTCTCTGACCGCGGTTTCGCGCATCGAGAACGGCGGAAACGAGGGTGTTGAGGTAGCGAGACTGTGCTTCGATCATCAGGATGATGGAGTTGTGACCTAGGTTTGTGTTGGGGCCATAGAAAAGACCAAAGTTGGGGAGAGAGGGAATGGTAGTGCCATAGAGGGCTGTAGCACCGGAAGACCAAATGTCTGCCAAGGGGCGCGAATTGGCTCCGATTACTTTGATGGGGTGGAGGAATTCGACTGTGCGGAAGCCGGTTGCGAGGACGATGGTGTCGTGCTCGTGGTGGGTACCGTCTTCGAGTTCGATGCCGGTTTCTGTGATGCGACGGATTTTGTTTGTTTCAAGCGTTGTCTTGGGATTGGCTACGGCGGGGTAGTAGTCGTCGGATATGATGACCCGTTTGCAGCCTGGGCTGTAGTTTGGTGTGAGTTTCTCCCACAGTGAAGGCTGGTCGGGGATTTGTGTCTTCATCATTTCCATGCAACTGCTTCGAATCACTTCTGCGAACTCGCTCTTGCTATCCGTGACGGCGTCGTGGAAGGACTCCCGGAAATCCATCATAGAACTGCGTATGCGCCAGCGAACTGGGGGTAGATAGCGCAGTACGGCACGTTTGAGGGCGCTAACCGGGCCATCGAGACGCGGGATGACCCAGTTCGGGGATCGTTGGTAAATGTGCAGGGACGAGGTTTGCGGTAGGATTTCTGGGATGATTTGAGCAGCCGTGGCACCTGTGTTTTTGTCAGTGTTCGTTCCTCCAAACAAATGCCATTGCGCGCACCGTTCCCGATGATGCCCACACTCCTGCCCTCAAGCCTGTGGCTCCAGTCCCAGCGCGCTGAATGCATGATCTTGCCCTTGAAGCTCTCCAAACCCTCGATATCCGGGTATTGTGGCTGGTTGAGCTGACCAACAGCTGAGACCAGGAAGTCGCACTCAATGCTGTAAGCGGGGTTGAACTCTGCATCTTTGCCGCCAGTCACGTTCACGTCGACCTTCCAGCGGTTCTTCGAGTCGTCCCACGTTGCGGCTTCGACGGATGTGTTGAAACGAATGTATTTGTACAGGTTGTACTTGCGGGCTACGTTGCGGAGATAATCCTGCAGCAAACGTTAGTGTTTGTAATTTGAGGTAGATACGAGAGAAAGACGTACAAGTATCTCCTCTTGTCCCGGATACTCTCTCGTCCAATCTGGATTTTGTTCGAAGGAATAACTGTATAGCATAGACCAGACATCGCAGCAGCAGCCGGGGTACTTGTTGTCATGCCATGTGCCGCCGACACTAGAGCTCTTCTCCACGATGATGAAGTTGTGACATTGGTTTCGCTTGATGAGGTCAATCGCCATACACATTCCTCGGTGATGTTAGCATGATGGAAATTAGATGGTCATTGCTGTACCTACCAGAGATGCCCGCTCCGATAATAACAACTGCGGCATCAGTATGGTCCTTGTTTCCGACCGGAACCTGTGGCCATGGCTGCGATCCTCCCATCTTGCTGGAGGTGACTTCTTTCAAGAGTCTGTGCTAGAAGTGAGTGTTTAATGGCAGAAACGGATTGGATGTAGAAACACTTGAGAAGGGCGAACGGACGAGTGGACCCCAAGAACCCGCCGCAGGGGCTTCTTGCCGACGATCATATGGCATGGTGTAGTACCATCATTGCCATCCAGCGAATGATCGCGTCGATAGCTACCGGGTCCGAAGTAGTTCGCGTCCCCTCCCCCTCAGTGACTACATACCCGAGCGTCCTGTCCCGAGGTAGTACAACATCGGCCTGATCCATGTGCGTGCAGTCGTCACCTTGCCCGGGGTGAGTGTGAATTCATGAGACCATTACGGCCGTATAACTTGATGCTTCTGTAAGCCTCGTTCAGCCCATGAGGGAGCATTACGGGCGTAACGCAGGGCGGGGATGAGTGGCGGTTGACAACCTTGGAAGGATGGTACGACTGAGTGTGGGGAAAGGGCTAGCCGGCAGCTCTAACGCTTTTGGGACAGCAGCCACGCCACTGTCGAGTCGACCAGATCGACTCATTTGATTTAACGTTCAAAGCTAAGTAATGGGGATGCAAGCCTGGCGAGTCGCGTTGGCTATTACTTTTGGATTGTTTACTTTGACTAATTTACCACATTGCTATCACACGGACCGCCACCATGTCTGAAAGATGTAGTGTGGTGTGGACGAAAAAAAGAGAACTTCGATTTGGTATAAGAACTAGTTGGTGTATGAATCGCTCATTCTATCCGTTTCTTCCCTCTGCAGGTTCCTGCGACCGCGGTTTGCTTTTGCCGCGCCAGACGCTCGATGATCGCGTCTGGCCTGCATGTCTCTCTCTGACACCCCTTCTACAAGACTCTCCCGTGAGGAAAGCTCTCTGCCGTGTGCTTCATCGTTCGACTCGAATTGGTGGGTCTGCACCACGCCCCATCGTACGTTCCTTTCTCGTTGCTTCCCTTTGTCCCCTCTTGAGTGTGGGCCAATAGAGCTTTCTGGTGACCTAGAAACTGGGCGCATTCGAGCCCATGCCTCGCTCATTTCTGTCTTGGAGACATGTAGTCTTGGGTCTCTAGGCTTAGTCTCGATTAGGCAAGCCTGATCAGCTTGGGGAATGCGCCGTCTCTGTGTATGTCGTCGGCAGGAGGGCTTGTCGAGCGCCGTCGCTTGCCCATCTTTCGAAAGGTCATATCCTGCGCCAGAAGTGTCTTCGCTTTTGGTACCGTTCTGAGGTTGTGCTTCGCGCTCCTGTCTTGATTTGGCGGAAGGTGCTCGACTGTGTTCGGTGCTTGCAGCCAAGTATCGAGTTTGCTTGACTTTCTCGCTGTATTGAAGATGCCGCGGATCGTCGTGTAGAATATGCTTGAGTGCAAGGTACAGGAGGACAGAGTACTGAACGACGGTGGCTCCCGTACTCGTTGGGTTTCTTGGAGTTTTCGAGTTTGATGCTCCCGATGTGTGCAAATTAGAGCTTTTCATTTCCGATGGCGTGTAAACCCCATGGATATCAATTCATCAGTGCGATGCATTATTGATTCATTGCAGTCGTGTGAGTATGCGCTGTTGACGCCATAGCTTTTGGTGACTCTGACTTCGTCAGTTGACGTGGAAGCTATAACCATCGCCAAAAGCCAACAGTCCAAGCTCGAAAGCTTGCTACAGTGAGATCACTGTTGAGATGAGTGTCACAAGTTGAGGCGTTGCCGGGACCTCCGTGAACCTTTTACAAGATTCCAAGGTTGTAATGTGTGCGATTGATGTCAACGGGAGGGGCCGCTCACTAAGGCATAGGGGCTGCGCGAGATGAATTTGGTCAGCGACTACGTATGCCGGTCAATTATGCTCTGGAGGCGTCGCAGTGCCGGACTTCCAAAGTTTCGCGGCGGCCCTTTGTTTCGAGCAATCTCGATCGCTTGGATACCAGCAAGGCAAGCATGCATTCAGCAGTAATAACTTTCAACATCACTGGGATCGCCGCGCAATTTCGTCGAATTGAAAGTTTTACACCAAGACTCTGAGGCAATGTTGACGCGAATCGTGATTGTGTGCGTGATGAAAAGCGTACAGCAGTAGTCGCATGCTTAGACGTCTCGCACCAGGCATCAAATGAGCCTTGCTGAAGAAATTCGTGTCCGCGCAGTGCTAACCCACTGGTAGTGAGGCCGTTGCATGGTGCCGGCCTAGGGTATTGAAGGCTCATGTACCCACCCGATGCAGTGGTTAAGTGTTGACTTATTTTGATCTCGCACCATGGTCGCACGATGCCGTCCCTAGCGACAATAACAGGTGGACCTGCGATCTGCGATCTGCGCGCCTAGCGAGTGACAAGGCCGCGAGGGTTTGTGAGAGTTGAGCGAATCTTGTGGTAGCTTGGGCGGCGAGTATTGGTAGTTTTAGCCGACGCACTTCATGGAGGGGACCCGCACACAAACCAGACGGCTGAGCAACTTGGAGCTTGGTTGAGCGTGGATGATAACGGAGCACTGAAACGCAAAACGAAATGCTTGGATGACGCATGCCATGACGATGAGGGGGCTCACGCAGAAGGAATGGAGGGATGAAGCGACCGTTTAGAGGCCTGTCCTGAAGCCAGTGCGCTACGGCAACACAACAATAGCCCGTCGGGTTATTCCCAGGATATTCTCACGGAAGTTTCCAGCCAGGGTCGGCAGACAGAAGTTTCTTCTCGCCGGCGGAAGCTTCTCTCTCCCCTGCTATTAAAGGTTGGACAATATTGCAGCGGTGGACATGGCAGCAGTGGTGGGTGAATGGCGAATGTTTTACGATGTGAAACTCGCCCCCGCATGTCCAACCGTCGTTCGCTGGGCCAGGAAAATGTCAGCAAAGGACGCAGCGCGATTGGCGTGCTGCGTGCAGGCCAGGGCGCAAAAGGAGCATCTTCGTGTTTAATGGAGTGCGGTCGTGTGTATGGAGATCTGGAATGCGGTCGCCGGATCGAGCTCATGTCCGCGGCCCTTCTTGGCTGCTATTCGTGGGGCCGCAGCGCCGCTAAGTTTCGATAGTCTGGTTCTGCTGGGAAGGGGCACACGATCGCTCCTTCCGCCGATGTCCAGGGCTGGCTGGAGGGACTGCGAGGGCAGGTCATGGCGGGCTGTGGCTGTTGGGCGTCTTCAGGAGGCGCGTGCGGGTGGGCGACAGAGGGTTTGATTGACGAGTGGCAGATTTGGCCGCTGTCGAGGCTTCAGGCGCCCACTCGGCTGATTGGCTGCTTTATCATTCTACGAGGCATCGAGACTCCAGGCTGGTGGTCGGCTGCGTCCTGTCTAATGCTAGCTGCCACTCTGAAACTCCAACACCTCCTGGTCGGGCCGGCGCACACCACGACGCGCAGTATACCTATCGTCCTGTCCCGTACTTCCTGGGAGTTCTTCCCTCCTGGCCCCGCTGCACTGCACTATTCGATGCAGGCCAACCCACGGCGCATCACCACGATTCTTCCGTCATATCCTCCCAGGTCCCCCATGCTTGCAGTAGTCGCCAGTAGCTTTGTCTAGCCATTCCTAGCCGACCATACTCTACCGGCTTCCCGCGCGCGCACCCATTTCCTCGTCGCGCACTTGCAGCACATATACACGCTCTGCAGCCGCACTCTACTCGAATCACTGCCTTCGGCCTAATATAGCATACTCTAATCAATCATGAAGCAACGCAAGTTCTCCTTCAATCTGGCGCCAGTCGTACGTTCCATCCCCAGTCCTTTGTCTGCAGTCGCATCCCAACAGTAACTCACCGCCAATGTAGAAGATTGCCTCCAAGCCAGACCTCTCCGACAAGCCCGCGCCGGACCCGGCTTCCTCCTCGTCACACAAGAGACACACCTCCAAAGACAGCATATGCGACCAATCGCCCTACATCAACCGCCGCGTTCTCGACGAACATACCGATCTGGAACTGCGCCTAGCATGTCGCGAAATCCTGCAAAACTTCAAGCCGTCCGACCATGGCATGGAGAACACCGACCCCAAGCTCGACTTTGGTGGCCTCGGCCGACGGAAGGAGAGTAAACCACAGGCCACTGAGGTCGCTGTCCGCATGCCCACTGGCGCGCCTCCAGAGCTGGCAGCGACTTCGACGTCATTCATGATGCGCAAACCCAGCACCAAGACGCGCTCACGCACGAAGGCGGACCAGGAGATCAGAGCAAGGACCTACGGAGACATGCCTGCACGCGCGAATAGCAGTCGCAAGCGAGCTGACTTCGGATGGCTTGACGAACGGGACGCAGAGAGGGAGGAGAAGCTGAGGTCATACGGCAAGACTTCTATGGACGTACCGCGATCGAACGTCTTCCACAATGACTCGGACGAAGACGTGACCCTTCCCGTAGCAGTCACATCTACTCTCGCCAACGCCAAGATGTCGTCGTCAGTGCCTACCTCAGCATCTTTACCCTACAGCAGGAGCATGAACCGACTATCCCACCAATCCGATAACCCAGCAGCAGTTGCAGACGCACAAGCCACAGAATGGATGCGTCGAGAGCTGGAGAAGAAGCGGCAGCAAGAAGCATCTGAGGGCCACCGTGGTCGCTCATCGACTTCAGTCCGACCACCCAGTCGTGCTGCCAGTGTCAAGGAAAGCGTTAAAGAATACATCTTCCCAGGCTCTCGCAGTCGGGCTCTGAGCCGTGCGCAGTCCAAAGAGTCTCTTCGTCCAGCAGCCGACAACGACGACCAGGGTCTCTCACGCAGTGGCTCGAATTCAGGATGGCGTAGCTGGGGCATACCCCGCCGCTTGAGTTCAAGAAGCAACAGCAGACCAGGAACCTCGAAAGGAAAACCGGAGGAAGCTCAGCCCAGGAAGTCAGAGTCCAACGGCCTCAACTTGAACAGAGAGCTACCCCCACTACCAGGTCTGGACACATGGAAGGACCACCAAGAATCTCCTCAGGAGGAAATAACAGTATCGATGAAATCTCCCACATCGCCAACCGCCGCAACACACATTGCAAGCATGATGCGCTCGCAAGAACAGC